CTTTGAGAAGATGCTTCGTCAAGGAATTACCCGCACTTTCGGACGGGTGGATGTAGTACTGAGAGGTAGGGTCGTGGATGAGCCTGACCTTCTTTGTTCCTTCGCTTGCCATGGAAACGAAGATAGTACCGGCGTGAGACGGTGATTATGAGTCCGACGTGAGCCGGCGCTGCAGCGGTGGTGATCGACGTGAGCCGATCGAAGAGGGGCGACCGTGGTGTGGCGGCCGGCGAAGCAACGGTGGCGGCACCGTGCGTGAGAAAAAAAACCTAGGGTTTGAGAAGGTCCCGGGAAATTGGCTCCGATACCATGTAGAATTTTGGAAAAACTGAACTGCCTTTCATTCAATATTCACAACGTATATATACATGTGCCAAGTCCTACTCTAAGTATGGAAAGGACTACTAACAAGGAAACTAATTACACTACTAACAAGGAAACTAATTACATATATGGTAGTAAATAAATATATATGCTAACACAGTGGCTTTTCAGCCACTTTCTGGATCGATCATCTAGCATGGATCGATCCTTTGGGAGAAGTTTTTCACATCATGGATCGATCTAGATGGCTGGATCGATCCCCCGAAGTTCTGATCCGAAAATTTGCCTGAAATTGCTATTTTTAAGCTCTAAAATCCTATTTTTGATACCAATTGATTATGATTATTTTAAGGATGATTCTTTAGAATAAAAATGACGTTTTTAACAAACAAAAATGTTATGTGATGCATGATTTTAAGTTCTGGTTTTAACACTCGAAACTAGATCGCTATTTGTTATCAATTGTTATGTTGATTGATGATTATGATGAATGATTGTTATGGATGATTATGAATGATGAACTTACTGATTAAAATAATTATTGATGATTGAACCATGGGTAAATTGAATATATTGATAATTATTAAACGATTTGTATTGTTAACGGTATCTAGAAGAACTCTAAGATATACCCATTAGTTAATTGATGTTAAAGCTATCTAGAAAACCTCTAGAATAGATTTTGTATTAGAATAGACTTATGAAAACATGAATATTTGATGAATTAGATAAAAATGTATAACAGGGATTCGTAGACCAAACTAGAGGATTACTCGTTTGGGAATGCCCGATCCAATGTTGATCAATCGATATATTGTTGTTGCCTTAACTGATTACAGTTAAGGGTACGAATCATTTGCCTTAAACTAGTGATAGTTTAAGTGTATGATTGCCTTAACAGACTACAGTTAAGTGTCCGAAATCAATTGCCTTAAACTAATGATAGTTTAAGTGTCTGATTAATAATTGCCTTAAAAGAATCTCGTTATGGAAATTATGATTTGGTCTTAGACTAAGAATAGCTAAGAGCATTATTATGATCTGGCCTTAGACTAAGAATAGCTAAGAGCGTTGTTATGATTTGGCCTTAGATTAAGAATAATTTAAGAGCACTATTGAAATAGTATCTGAATTGAATAAAATGTATTGATATGAACTGAACAATACCAAAACTGTGAATGTATGAAATAAACATTGTGTGCATGATACCAAAACTGTGGATGTTCGACGCATTAGATATGCTTACTCAGCTTCACCGCTGAGCGTGTAGTGTGTTTTATTTGCTACTCGCAGGTAAACAGAAAGATTAATGTGATCCTAGCGGCAGATGGGGTGAGATTGTCGGGATGGATGTGATAAGTTTGAAATGATTTATGATATGTCAAAATTAAATTTGCTTCCGCAATATTGTTGAATATTCCATACTGTATATGTTATGAAAAATATTATTAGGATTAATAAAGTGTGTTTGAAAAGTTTAAAATTTTTACGATTACCAAGTTAAATACTTTAGTCCGAAAGGGGCTGCAGACCTGGACGGATTAGGGTGTTACAAGCCCCAACTTGTGCAACCTGCAGAAGAGCACACCGAGGAGAGTGTTGGTTTGCTAAGGGTTTGTTCTTGGGTTGCGGAAAAGGAGGTCATTTTAGGAAAGATTTCCCTACAAATCCTGGTCCTATACTCTTCCCAAAGGGAGGGGAAAAGCAGCAGTAAGCCCCGAACCACCCAAAACCCACGACTAGCGGGTCGGTCAATCAGAAAGGTGGACAAGCACGAGCTAGAACATATGCTATGAAGGCTCATGAAGACCAAGTAGGTACTGACGCTATTACCATTTTATTTTCATTATGTGGGACTGAGGTCCGAGCATTAATTGATCTTGGATCTACACTCTTGTACCTTTGTGTTAAAATACTCGAGATGCCTGAACAAGCAAGAGAGAGCTTAATTCACCCTGTGATCGTGTCTAATCCGCTCGGTCATAGTATGACCTTGAACTATGTTTATCTTCGTTGCCCATTATTCTCTATGGAAAGACAATTCGATGCAGACCTTATCGAACTTCCTCATAGGGAATTCAATGTCATCTTGGAGATGGATTAGTTAACTGCACACGAAGCAATAGTAGATTGTGGGTCAAGCTTCAACTAAAAGCTGGAGGTGAAGAAAGGATTCTGATAACCGGCGACTTGCCACCGACAACACCGCAGTTCATATCGTTGATGCAAGCAAAGAGATTGGTTCAAAAGAATGTGAGGCATATTTGTGCAATGTCCAAGATACCCTAAAAGAAGTGTTAAAGTTTAAAGACATTCGGACAGTATGCGACTTCCCGGACGTATTCCCAGAAGAGCTACCGGGGGTACCACCCCCAAGAGAAGTGGAGTTTTCAATTGATTTGTTGCCCGGTACTAATCCGATATCGATTGCTCCTTATCAAATGGCTCCTACCGAAATGAAGGAATTGAAGGCTCAATTGCAAGAGCTTCTCGATAAGGGATTCATTCGGCCAAGTGTTTCACCTTGGGGAGAACTAGTGTTATTTGTGAAGAAGAAGGATGGATCGATGAGGTTGTGTATCGACTACCGGCAATTGAATAAGTGTACGGTGAAGAATAAATACCCGCTACCAAGAATAGATGACTTGTTTGACTAACTTCGTGGAGCATCAGTTTTCTCAAAGATAGACCTCAGATCAGGGTATCACCAACTACCAGTGAAGAAGGAGGATATTCCGAAAATAGCGTTTCGGACAAGGTATGGCCACTATGAGTTTACTGTGATGCCATTTCGGTTGACAAATGCCCAGCGGTCTTTATGGAGCTCATGAACAACATCTTCTGACCATACTTGGATCAGTTTGTGGTGATCTTTATTGATGATATTCTGGTATATTCCAAGTCACCTGAGGATCATGATCGACATTTGTGTATGGTGTTAGAGATTTTGAGGAAGAACAAGTTGTGCGCCAAATTATCCAAATGTGAATTTTGGTTAAAGGAGGTGACATTTCTTGGACATATCCTGTCGGTGGAAAGAATTAAAATAGACCCGGCTAAGATAGCTGCAGTAACTGAGTGGAAGCCTCCCAGGAACCCTAGGGAAGTAAGAAGTTTCCTAGGATTGGCCGAATATTATCGACGTTTTGTGAAGGGTTTCTCATCAATAGCATCACCATTGCATAAGCTAACTAGGAAGGATGTGAAGTTCGTATGGACAGAGAAGTGTGAAGAGAGTTTTGATCGGTTAAAAAAGTGCTTGACAGAGGCACCGGTGCTTACTATGTTCACCGATGCATCTCATTTTGGGCTGGGATGTGTATTGATGAAGGAAAGGAAGGTTGTGGCCTATTCGTCGAGACAACTCAAAGCTCACGAACTCAACTATCCTACAAATGATCTAGAATTGGCTGCAATTGTCTTCGGCTTGAAGATTTGTAGACACTACCTCTACGGGGAGCATACAGAGTTTTTTACTGATCATAAAAGCCTTAAGTATCTTCCCACGTAGAAAGAGCTTAACCTACGGCTGAGGAGGTGGATTGAGCTGATCAAAGATTATGAATGTACCATTGATTATCATCCCGGCAAAGCTAATGTAGTAGCTGACGCTCTTAGCAGAAAAGGGACTCTGGCAGAACTTCAAGTTCGGCCAACCCTTGAATTTGAGATTATTGAGGCTCGGAAAGGTGATGAGTTCTGTAAAGACAAAGTTAAAGAGGTGGAGCAAGGTGAGCAAACCGAGTATATCATATGTGAGAGTGGATCTTTGTTCTTCTGCGGACGGCTTGTGGTGCCCACAACTGAGATGAGGGAGCGTATCCTTCGGGAGGCGCATGAGACTCGTTACGCAATGCACCCGGGAAGCAACAAAATGTTCCAATGTTTGAGAAGAAGTTATTGGTGACCGGCGATGAAGCGTGAGATCATTAAATTTACCAGCTGATAAGTCCTCAAATGTCATATTTTATTCTCTCATATTAGCCCGTTTTAGTATATTCCAAATGCATTTTATACACATTTAATCATTATTATGTTTATATAGCAATTAAGGCCATTATTTATCTATTAATCATAAAATGCATTGTTTTGGGCATTGTTTTTACTTTATTATTTTTAATGCCTTGATTTCCTTGACACAAGTTCTCTAGACACTTGGTATTACTAATTATATGTGAAGGATGTCAAATTTGCCAAGAGAGGGAAGAGGGATCAAGAGTATTGGGCCAAATTGGTTGGAAATTGACCCAATTGTTTTAAAAGAGGGAAAAAACGAAGGGACTGCCAAGAATCCTTTATATATAATATTTGAGAGTTGAACTCTCAGAATTGCGACATTTGGCATGCTGACTGGAACTTTTTTTGACACTTCATCAGCCACGTCATCAAAATCGACTCCCTCAATATTTCAAACGGGTTGAGCTTCTAGAATTGTGACATGTCGCGTGCTTATTAGACAACTTTTTTAACATATGAGCATGTCATGTTAGCAAGTAATGTTTAAAAAATAGTTAACAAAAAAACTTGTTATGCGGAAATTAAATTTCATATTTGTTACACACCAATTTCTCCATATAATCGCGTTTAAAAACTTTTATATTTTCATTCATTATTGGAAAATATTTAAATTAAATAGTATATTTTGGAATTTAAAAAAAACAGCTATTCAAAAACTATAATCAAAACAAATAAATTTACTTTAAGAACGGATAGATTAGTAGGACTAAACGAAATTACATTTGATTTTTTTGCTTTGAATTAATACTAATTGGAGAGATTTTCTAATTATTTAAAAAAAAGAAACAAATATATAAAAGAAAATGGATTTTTATGGGCACGCTTATTTAATAGAGCATTAGTTTTATTCCGTATATGTAAAAATTTCTAAATCAAATAAAAAGTATGTTCCATTTTAAAATTAGTATTTTCCATTTTAAAAGTTTGGTCAAAGATTTGAGAAATATGATAGATGAGCATAATGTTTTAACACAAATATTTAGAAGAACTAAAGACTTCATGGATAGTGAGCCTACTTCTAATGTATCATTGAGGCTGTTGAGAAGTAAGACTTCATATATATAATGAGCCTATTTCTAATGTATCATTGAGGTTATTGACAAGTAAAACTAGAGACTCAAGAAATTATAGTATCTCCACAATACATGAAGTTGGTGTTCTAATAGTTAAAGATCTTGATTCTTAACACAAGTTATTCCTCAAGAATATAGTGAACTTCACTTATCTAAAATTATTAGAGAACATAAAAAACTATTATATTCTTTTTTTTAAGATAGTGCACTATTGGCACCCGTGCTCGAGGTTGTTGAATGGTAAATGAATTTGTCTTATCCTTTTTTAAGATAGTACTTAATTTCTTATTCTTCATGCCAACATGTTTGGAATTAAAAAAGACATTTTTAAGTACATTTTCAATTCCTCAGATATTATTTATTCTACCTTGGTTTTTTTGTCCAATAATAAAAAAATAGTGTTAGAAATATATTTACTTGATTCGGAAAATGTATTATATTAAAAAAAAATCAGAATCCACGAAAATACTAGTTATATCAAAACAGCCGCCTCAGATTGGAAACTCCAGCTTCGTGTGTACCTACGGAAAAGACTCCCCCTCCAACTCTACCAACGAAAACGCAGCAGCGCAGGGGAGACTTGGACTCAAATTTGGAGTCCTAATCCTAGACGAAGGGCTGATTTCCAGCCCCTATAAACCCAGCGGGCAGCAGCGAGAGGCCAGGGGGGAGACAGATCGGAGCAGAGGAGAGAAGAACCGGCCTAGGGTTCCGACCCTAGGTCCGGCGACGGCAAGGTCCGGTGAGGCACTATGGCCGCATCAGGTCCTGTGCGGCAGCAATCGGAAACAGAAACTCAGGGAGCATTTTTGTTCTACTTTTTTAAGAACTTTATGTCTTTTTGCTGATAAGGATTCCATATTTATTTATTTTCAATCTATGAGTATGAACATCCCTTATCTAATTACGTTTATTTATAGTTTCAATTCTTTGTTTGTTTAATATTTAAGTTATATCATAAGTGTTGAATTGTTTGAGTGTTGAGGTTGAATTGTTCAAATCTGATTTATTGATTGATTATTGTCTTTGGAATTATGGAACTTTCGTATTATTTGACAAAAATGACTGAATCTTTGGTTTGATGGTTCTTGTTATATACTCCCTCCGTCCTATAATGTTCTTCTCGGTTCTGTTTACGAAGTTTGATTGACTTTATTTTTAATTCAATTTATTTGATTGTAGGTGTAAAAATAAAAAATAAAATTTATATATTTAAAAACTACAAAAAAAAGTTCTACAAAACAAGTGATGACAATACTATATTGTTTTATCAAATACCTAATGAAAACAGGTAAAAAAAGTGATTAAAGTTTGACCGTGTGAATAGTAAGTTTGACGGAGGGAGTAATATGGCTTTGAAGTTTTAGACTTTGCGCTACTGTCAAATCTAAACTCAAAAAGGTGTTTGAAAACTGGTCTTTGTTTAAACTTGGATTAGATTTATTTAGGACGGCTACCTAAACTCTAATTTCAATTCATAGTTTTAAGATCTTGAATATGTTTATAGCTGATATTTTTAAAACACAAGTGTCACCTGGTTAATATTTAATTGGTTCCCACCCAATTTTTATTAATCAAAGTTTTCAAGCTGGCTATGTTAAATACATATAGTCTACTGCATAGTTGTTAAGTGATATTTTCTAAAGAACTTAATGCTCTATTTTTATTTAAATCTGTGGGTAGGTCCTTGGGTTGTTAAGAATAGTAGGGTCTAGAGTTAGGACGGGTCTTAACATATATGAAAGTCAAAGTGTTGAAAAAAATTAAAGCAATATAAATGTGCAATTGAGCGGAAACATACTTGAGCATAAACAACGGTAAAATAAACTTTAGTTTTATTCCATTGAGATTTAAGAGCAATAACTATGTAAGTTTCAGCAACGATCAGAGGTCAAGCTCACACACAATGTGTTAATACTTGTCTTAAGAATGTCACATGAATGCAAATAGAGAGTAACATAGTTGATGAATCTTTGGATAAAATGATGTGAACGTATGACATACATACTTTAAAATATTTTAATGATGGTGTATTCCATCGCCTTTTCCACCTCCTCCAACACCACCTCCGCCAACCCCTATTCCCCCTCCAATTCTTCCACCTTTTCTGAATCCTCCACCGACACCTATAGCACCACCAGCCCCTCCACCGGCTCCTCCACCAACACCTATACCACCGCCATGACCTCCCTGAACACCACCACTACCACCGAAACCACCTCCGACTCC